GAGCCAAGTGTTGGACCTGCTGAGATTTAGATGCATACCATATACTGTATGTTATTTAATACATTTGAATTTGATCAGTTATTCTTATGGACAGCCCATGCCCCATTTTTCTAGTAAGAAAACTTACACACTGAAGATTTTTAGTGAAATTAGTATATTTGCATAAGCAGTGTTTGATAGATCTCATCTATGTTCTTTTAAACTAATCTGTTTTTCTGAACTTGAGAGTACATAGCAAGCAACTACTAAATAAGTTAGTCATTGGTCCCCTAGCCTTTCCAAATTCTGTTTATCCTGATGGCCTGTTGGCTCCAAATCTATTCAAAAATCCATGGTCTGTAGGTGTGTGTTTATTGCGGGGGGGGGGGGAGGACCTGCCTCTTCAAATGCTAGAATTTGTGTATTTTCACAGTTCAGAACTCTTGAGTCTTACCATTCACCTAGTAAAATTTTTGATGTACATACATACATGACTTCTGCTAATGCTACCAAAGTTATCTGCATTTTTATCAAATAAGGGAAGGACCTCTCAGATGCTCTCCCCCATCTGTCAACGGGATGATACTGATGAGGCTCATGACATAGCAAGGGAGAACCCAGAATGAATAATTGTCAGCAACTCCCACCCCATATCAGTAGTTAGATGTGAATAATTCTCTTGCAAGGTACAATCAATTAAGAAATAACTGTAGCGAACCTTACTTTCTCCAACTAGCTGGGAATTCTGGGAACTGTAGTCCCAATGCATCTGGTGGGCATCAGCTTGAGGAAGGCTTTCTTAAGTGATGTTTCACCAGTGGATCTTATATTCTTGTTGAAGCTATACAAGGGAATTGTCAGGGATTCTCTGCTTTGAGTTTCATTGTGAGATATAAATAAAGTAAGATAATAGAAGTTATTTATCAGAGTATTTCTCTCCTTCTCCTTCCCCTTTTCTCTCTTCCTCCCCACAAAAATGGATAAGTCATTAAACTAATTTTCAGTGGTTCCACATACCTCCTAATAGTATCATGGGAAAGCTTGCAAATAAATACTGCAGAGTTTGCCATCTAAGTTTAAAAGGGTCTATCCATGTCATGGAAATGCCACGTTTCATTCTTTTTTATTGTATAACGATACAGCATCCATTCTTTTCGTTCAGAGAAGCTGTTCTGGTTGCTGCTTCTGTTCCCTTGTATATGGTAATCTGGTTTCTTTTATTGTGTGTCCAAATAACATGCTTGCTAGATGCTGGATGTTGTTGTCTTCCCTCTTTTTGTTCCAACAATAAGGAGTTGCAGATTAAAATGCCCTGAAATATCTACTGCATTGCATAACAACAACAATAAAAGCTTAACTCTCCAAAGTTGTTTTACTTTTATAAAGACTGTTTTGGCTACCTTGCTCCTAGTCTGTAATTATTTATCTATTTAAAAGATTTTAGACTGCCATTTAGAATAAAACCTCCCAAGACAGCTTCCTGTATATGTATTTACAATAAATAATGAACTGTGAATTTTTAAAAGCATAAAACATTATAGCATTAAGAAAAATAATTCAGAAAAGGTTAATAATTCATAATATGGTTCACTAAAACAATAAAATAAATAAATGCAGCTAGAATTGCATAGTACTTACAGTAGATAAAGAAATAATAAACATACAGATCAGGAGGCTTTAAAAGCCTAGTACGGGGATGGAGCCCTGCATATTCCTATAGAACTGAATTCCATAAATGCCCATGCCTTTCTTCTTTTCCTTTACTTTATCTCACGTTTTCTTTTCCTTTTCCTT